TCGTACTGGTCAACAACAAAGGGGGAATCCCACAGCAACTAATTCCGTTACCACTGACGTCCGTTGCCTTAGTGGTGTCCGGCGACCCAGCGGCAGAAGGAGATTTGGTCGAATTCTGACCACTGACGATTCGCTCAAATTCCACAAGCTGTCCCATGAAGTTGAAATTTGGGGACACGTTCGGCTTGTGACTTCTGACCAGGTCGTACGCTTCATCCAGACTGATCGACAGCGTCTGCATCAGATACGCGACAGTGACTGTGACCGATCGACTTATGCCAGCTAAACAGTGCACGAGGACGCCGCATTTTTCTGACCTGGCTTTGTCTAAAAAATGCATCATTAGTAGAATATAAGCATAAGCTAGTCGTACTGCCCCCACCCCACCCAAAAAAGCACGCGTTACACGATGTGAACAGAACATGATCCTAAATTAAAACAAGAAGAAAACGTCACACAAGGAGAGCAGGCAGGTTATCTCCGGCGATAGTGTGATCCATTTCCATATCCAAAATAAGCAGTGCGCTGTTCTCAATAATCATTATAATGGATTTCACTATTCAAAAGCCAATGCGTGATGGCTATCTCGGAAAACCAGGGTTATGCTTTGGCTACATAACGGATTTTCTATTAACGTTGCATTAATGAACGACGAAAGCATATGATAACTGAAACATGAATAAACGAAGAACTGTAATGCATTTTAGAAAAGTTCATGTTTCTAATTTTGTGGAATAACGCCATTAAGAAGAGTCATTTGAAATCTGCAGCAGCATTTGAGTACCAGCATAAATCGTACCGCTGTGTAACTGTGTGAATGGGTTACAGTGCCGTTACGCTAGAATAATAAACGAGAGTGACCGTTTCAAGCACCTTGATCACTTATGACTAAACTCGCCGACCATCATCCAATGGCAAGGAAACGAAAGACTGTAACTGGAAGAGAACCGCAATTAAGCTGCTACTGTTCAGCTGGCAGATAATGACGTTTAGAACGGAGGTGCTAGAAACGAGTCACAAACAAATACGCACTGCACTGAAGATCAATGGTGTGAAAACACTAATACTACTCTCAGAGGGCAACTGTTCAGCTTTGGCGAAAGCCATAGAAAAACTTTTTTAACGGCAACCCTCTAATGGCCGCAGACGCATCGTAACGCAAAACCATACATGGAAAAACCAAGTAAAATCAAACATGGGATTTAAATTGTCTACACAAAACCGTAAATTGCTATATGTTTAATGTGTTCTCCGTTTATACGGCACGATCTACATCTTTGTCCATTGCTAAAAATACTATCCAACGTCATCATCGACTTGAGGGTGCAACCTGCAAGTACCTTCAGTACTTGCATTGCCATGTACCTGCACAGTCAGTTGGTTCTGTTCTCATAGCACGGTCCGAAAGTAGTACTTTCGAGGATGCAATGAATAATTACTTTAACACACAATTCGTGGATATTCGTCAATGCGACGTTTCGAACATTCTAATGAATTTGCGTTTCTTTCAGCTCACATATGACAAGAAACCCTCAATATCCTAACTAAATCACAGACACCATTTCAACCAAGTCAGGAGCAGTAATCAAAAATCTTCTGTTGCTTAGACTTCGTTTGTCATTATACGAAATGACGAGAACTAGCATAACAAAATCTGTTATGCTAGACAATAGCCAACAACGGAGTAAGATAGTTTGAATCGAGTAAATCTCGCAGCGCAAGGGAATGTACCACTGAAAAGCTAACCTTAGATGCTAATTTCTCTAACAAATCGATTTACTTCCGAAAATCCGATGGCTAAACTACGGTAGTTCTTAAGGTAACCCTGCATTAGCGCTGGTCTTCCTTGGAAAACGAAGAGGATTTCATATGCAATGTCATGATGAGTTCCTTGATTACAATTACGAGAAGCGCACAAAACCGGAAGGCATGGTGTAAGAAAGTGCCTCATGAAATCTACTCTCTAAACAGAGGACAACAAGTGATGACGACGACAATTACTGTAACGATCTGAACTTCCAAACAATACCAGACCTTGACATTTGCAAAGGACTAAGTTTGGATGCTTGACGATTTGTTTTACTTTCCAAAAATCCAAACTCGAAACGGATCGGGAAAAGCTACGGTAATAAAGGACTGCATGCCGAGACGAAGCGCGGTGATGTACAATTTCATTGTCGTGAAGCTGTTATCAATGAGACAATGATAATCATATGATGAATTAAACATTTTTGTTCTCAGTGCAAATCTTTCCATGAGAAGAACACCGACAGTGAATATCTGAATGAAAAATGTGGCACAACTGTGTACTAATCCAAATTCTGACTATAAATTTAGTACGCAGTTATTAATCAAACTTCATAAATCAAAGGCATTAGTCCATACAATAAGACCGAAGAGTAAATAAATACATCACTTCTGAAAGTAACTAATCGCACACAAAGAAGTGACCAAATTTTAAGATGATCAGCTGTGATTATCGTTTAACTGTAGACGAGTTTTGAGTTTCGATTGAGGGCTGTCAGAAATGCCTGATCTCAGAAACACGTATGTCACATTCATTTTTGGAGTTACCGATTGCTGCGGCGGAGATCTAGAGGCAACATGTGTTTTCCGCAAACGAGCCTGTCTCTATTAGGCATTCTGAAGAGCGCGTTTGAAAGCGGACACCCCAAACACAGGGAGAACCGTTGGACCAGTAGTAACTGATACGCTAATTCGATCTCTCACTAGTCTCAACTCATCTGAAGGTGAATCTTTCAACTACTAGTTTTATCAGTTGCTGATCAATTATCAGCGTAATTAATGAAGTCGATATTGAAATGAACCTTAGCAGTTTGTGCCCGTATCGCATTTCCGCTCAGTCGCCAGAATGATTATTTCTTTAGCTTACATTCATCGGTTTCCATGAGCAAGCTTAGAAGATTGAAAACATGGTAAATAACTAGTCTTTAAGACAAGAGGATGTTGATAATGTCGGAAAGAATGCCTCTGCAATTTCAGGGGGCTGTCAGAACGACAAACAGTTAATTAATCATCGATGATAATCGATAAACGGAAACTTTAAAGCTCGTAAACAAAACCTGTAGTTGAAACAAAGTACCTTCAAACAATTACGATGCTCCTTGAGAACCCCCCCCCCC